TATATCTCCTGTGGTGCAATTTGCATAAATTATGCACGGTTCCGGGTTCCGGTTCCAGGTTCCGGTTCCTGTATCGCTGTATCGTTGTATCGCTGTATCGCTTTTTAGTAGTAGCCCTCCTGACAGCCGCCATTTTACATTGCACAGAAATACATAATTATGCAAAACATTTGCATAAATTTAAATATTAACCTTGACGTCACAGACAAGAAATATTAACCATTGACCCAGCCGTTAAGTGGGCGAGTGGCGAGAACACAACGGCTGGAATCTGAGCCTACCCTGAGCCAAGACGATCGACAAAGAATGTCAGGCAACCAGAACGATATGGCGAGGGAATTCCCTCGTCGGTAATTAGATAAAAAAAAAGGGGAGTGATATAGTAATGACGTCATGTCATTCACTCGGCACCAGGACTATACGGTCGGAACTAATTAAATATATATGGATAGGACACGTTGTGTAGAAGAAACACACGCACACACTAAAACACCAATAAGAACTATATCGTTATGTTATACTAAATATATTCTATAGCACAAATATATACCTAGTACTTAGATATTACAATTTTCATACACCACATTACAAATCATACACAACAAATATTTACAGTGTGTAAACATATGTTAATTGTGAGTAATGTGACTGTTGGGTTATGCCTATATTTTTTTAAAGGCCTTATGCAACAAATTTTTCGATGGTGAGATTTTTGCACATGATTAAAATTTCATCCTTTCTGATCATTTTGATACCGGTCTCGATGCGAAATTCAAACTAGAAGTTAGTGAATTTTGTGTTTAAAGATGGGTCCCTTTTGCGAAAAACTGGTTCGCGCTGTGACGTCACAGTAATGAGTCGTGCTGTGTGTAAACAAAGGATTAAAAAGTTTTACATAAGGTCCGTCGAAAACAACTCCTTACTGTGACGTCACACCACTGATCAGCAAAGGTCTTTTTTTCGCAAAGAAAGTGGCAAAATTTGCGACTTTGAAGGCTTATAAAAATAAAGCTACTTGAAGTTTCGGAAAACGGTTTGCATCTTTCGAACCAGTGCAAAGAACTCTATAACGTAATGCAAACATCTCACCATCGAAAAATTCGTTGCATAAGGCCTTTAACCCATTGAGTGGTAGCACTCTCCACTTGACCAGTAAAATCATCTGTTAGTTAAATAGTCGGCGCTTTTTGTTGTCATCTCATCTTTCCGTTTAAAATCTGTAACCATTAAGTGTGCTGTAAAGTCCATTCTGCGCCTCAGTTCTGCTCATGACAAAGGGGGGCCCGCAGATATAAACATTACCGAAATTTTGCATGAATTGCAACGTAAAGTTTATATTGAAATTTGTGTAAATTGCTTGGGGGAGAAATACAGTATCTCTTCTCAATTTTGGCACGGAGATGCAAAAAGTATTACCAACACTGTCTTATGAACTGCGGACCATTCTATGGTCGATCAGCAAGGGTGGGTTGACTACAAAATTTTGTAGTTTGTTATAACTACAGCTACTTCAAAAATATGTAGTCCGGTACAACTACTGCTACTTTTGAACAAAATAGTTCACTACTGACTACATGAGCTACGTCTGCTTAAAAAATGTAACATACTATTTCACTACTCTATATTTTTTAGTTTTACTTAAGTATTTGTAGCATCTAGTAGCTCAGGTTGTAATGTAACCTCTAACAAATCGACTTGCGAGCAGCAAGAGTAAACACAAAGCAACATTTTTGTGAAATATAAAATATTGCGCTAAAGGTAATCTTTACTGTGAAGCGTGGGAAGTCGCGAATATAAATAAGATGGCGGCACTTGCACAGTTGCACGGCATATTTTATTCTTGCAAATTGACTATTGAGTATTGGGAGAGGGTTTATTAGAGGGAGGGGGGCGGGGAGCTTATTAGAAACTCACACAGTAGCTATTAAGGAGGCTAAATAGAGCTGCTTATTAGAGTGTTTACAGTATATCAAATTATCAATGATATATACAGTTTTTTAACTTTTAGGGATTAAAGTGTTCCATCAGTGTTCAACTTGTTGGCGATAGTTTCTCCAAATTAAGAGGGGAACTTGCTGGTCCACCGGACACACCTTATGAAGGTCAGTACTGTTTAAGGCTGTTGTATCATTGATTCAAATAGTATGGACAGCCTATATTAATATAAAAATACTGTTAATTATTGTTAATATTGATTCAATATTTCAGTATTTTCCCACCCACAAAACTAAGTCATTAATTTTTAACATAATATTTTGTGAAACTAATTGGACCACACACATACTGTACATACGTATTGACTTTTCAAAACAGTAGAGAAAACATACAGTATGCACCTTATTAGTTATTTTACAGTTTTCATATACCTAATGAAATAATCATCCATGATTATGGTACAACTTACTTACCGTACATGTTGTCTTGAAAAACGATATAGATTCAACCAAATGAAATGAACCAAAGCTGAAGTATGAAAAATTATCTCTTTAATGCAGTTGTGTCCACTCTTAACGTATACCAAACTGACACCATGGCGGGATTTTGGTGTAAATGCTAAGGGGAGGTGAAAACATTTAGGAAAAATGAAGTGGTCTGGACCCCATCCTCCCTGGGATGTTAAGGACAAAAGTAACTGCCTATACAATACAACTTAACTGCAAATAGAATAATAAAGATACTGTATACAGTATAAATTGGTATATAATTGGACTATGTATAAATTTAATTCCAGGTGGTCGATATGTTGTTGATATTTCTGTTCCCGAAACGTATCCATTTAATCCACCAAAGGTGCAGTATTTCTGTTTACAATATTATAAATTCCTTAATAACAATTTCAATACAAACAAAACAAAACAAAACAAGGGGTTCAATTAGTAATTAACCGGTTAACACTGAACCAAGACACTTACCGTTCCTTAGTAAGGGACAACGGAAGGGGTCAACGTAGGGACACGTTACTGTATGCTTAGTTCATTAAAGAGTAAGATGTTCATGTGAATTCACCCAAGGGATGTGCGCAAATGCACTCTTGCCGGCTGATGCGATATTTTCAATTAATATCGATATTTCAAAAATATTGATATTTGATATTCGATTTTTTTGCCTATCGAAAATATCGAAGGATTTACTAGACAACTTAATCTCCCTTTTTTGGCAATCATTGCCCGGTAAAGATTGGGAATTCAAGTAGCAACTTATTGTTTTTAAGCAGGCTAAGTGTGATCACAGGAGATGGTGCACCACCCACGAGCAGCAGTTGAGGGCTTGAAAGCAATAACTGTGTGATGACTAATAAAGTGATGCAATCTGAAATACTTTGAATAATAATCTTAATGGCATGTATCGGCGCTGGTTTAAAAAACAAAGTATCAGAATATCACAGCTCATTCTCTAACTCACTGCTCTGTTGCGAAGGAAAGTCCTGACAATATGTCGAATCAAAGTCCTATTTGGAATTGCTTTAAGAAAAGTGATAAAAATGATGACCCTTTGTTTCATGCAACATGCAAGTTGGTTAAACAACGTTTTTTAATTTGTATTATTCGATATACTGTAGTCGATATTTTTTCTATATCGATATATCGATTTTTTCAACATCGCATCAGCCTACTCTTGCCCGTTATTGTGTTAACCAATCATGTTCTTGTTCATACACTATAGTTTATATATTAATTATTATATTCAGTAGATTACAGTATATTCGACGGTCAGAGGCACATCAAAAACGATGCAAGCTTCTTGCGGTCACATTTTCTAATAAAATGTATTGTTTAAAATTCTTAGTCTATTAAAGATGCTGTGCTGAGTGGTTATATTACTACCTTAAAAAATAAGCACACTGGTACAGACAGTTTTAGTCTATTAAAGCCTTTTGTTAATTGGCGCATGCACTTACAAGTTATAATATCAAGATTGGAGTACAACTAGTACAGTACTAGATTTCGGCCCATCATTGTAAGTTTATGAAAATCTGGACGTATTCAGTTTCAATCATTTGAAGTTTCTAATTAAAGTCTTTGATGGAAAGTTAAAAAGTCAAAACTCCCAGTTTTAAAATAATTATTGGTCTTAAAGATATTATTATTGGTATTAGTTTATTTTACTGGATAAAATGCATGAAGCACTACAGTAAAAGTCTGAGCTAAGTCAGCCGGCTACAGTATTTAATTCATGGCTCATCACGTCTTGATTTCGTATTTTTCATGCATACATTTTGCATAGATGTACACATTTTCGAATAATTTTTGCGGTCCCAGACACACCAAAACGTTATCGATCCCAACTAGACGAAATCGGAGTGACTCGTTCTGCGCTTGGAACAAATTGCAGTTGAAGACTGGAAGAATTAGAATATGCTTATATGCATATCAAAGTATTGAACTGTTCAATCATCATTTGAATATGGAGAAAGTTGGTCAAAATCAAAGAAGTGTGCTTTGGTTAAATTTCTTTATTTTGCTTTACACAGAAGACAAAGTATGCTATAGTACAAAAATGATTTAATTCACAATTCTATTGTGGCTATAATGACTGAACATTCCAGTCTAAGCTACATGTTACAGTGATTCGACTGAAATTTGTTTCCAGCGCAGAATGCGTCAAGTGGATGCGCAGTCGAATCTCCGATGTCGTTTATACTGTATAAGCAGCAGTGTCTTTTATTGTTAGGTGAAATTTTTGACGAGAATTTGGCATCCTAACATAAGTTCTGTTACTGGTGCAATATGTTTGGATGTTTTAAAAGATCAATGGTATGTGTTCATTTGCATTCAATGCATATAAATATGTAATTAATGAAGTATAATTGAGTACACAAGTTAGTGTAGGTCATCAGCTGTCATACGACAATTGCAGAACTTCTGCATGGCCAGAATGTGTCTCAGATGGATGAGTGCATGCCTGCTTTATGCATGGTGGCCCACACTATCTGAGGCGGTATTTGTTAACATTCTGGGGGTCAGCTGTTAAAGCTCAAATACTGTAGTGCTAACCCTGGAAGTACAGTATCAAGTATGGAGGTCTATCTACTGTAAATATCCGATATAACTTCAGTTTTTCCTATCATTTAGGGCTGCTGCAATGACACTTCGGACTGTTCTTCTCTCAATTCAGGTGCTTCAATAGACCTTTTTATAATGACGTCAAACGCGGAAAACCAATTTATGCGATGTCACAGAACAATTTTTGGCAACAATTGAGCGACGATTTGCAATGCAAGTGGTTGGCGAGCCAATTAAATATATAAAAACTTCATTTGCATTGCGAATTGTCGCTATCGTATTAAGTGGTTTTCCGCGTTTGACGTCATTATAAGGAAGGTCTATGAAATTCTATCATTTTGTGCTCGATTTTAATTTCAAACGTCTTTGAGTCAAAGTTGATTACAGTACATAGTAATGCACAGCCTTTTTGCGGCTTCGACTAAAGTGTGTGATAATTATGCAACCCAGTATTGATTACCGTAAGTTACAGATTCTATACGAGTAGGAAATATACAGTTACTGTATACTGTATAATATTATAGTATTTCTTAGGGGGTTGGTTGTTTAGTAACAGGAACGTGCATGGGTATACGCAAAGGTAATCTTTTCTTACCAGTTGGTAAAATTTAGTAGGTTTACAATTTGGTATTTTTAAGTTGGGAAGTTGCGGATTGAGAGGGATACCTGCAAAATACAGTAAAACTGCGTTTCGAGTGTTGGGGATTGCCTCCAAGTATCGCCCAAAATAAATCACAACAAAATACAGTATAATATCTATTACAAAATCACAAGTTTCACAGTTTCACAGCCACATGTTTTTAAGTTCTCTCCTGGAAAAAAAACAACAACCACCGGTATATTATTATTATTATTATTATTATTATTATTATTATTATTATTATTATTATTATTATTAAATTGAAACCACATTGCAGCCAGAAGCTGAATTGCGTGGATTACATATTATCACATGCACTACATATAAATATATTATTAATACAATATTATAAAACCCACCCTCGATCAAAATTCGATTAAAATAAGCATAAAATCTATCCTACAAACTTCCTACACATAGCAGGGATAAAGAGTTATAAAAGCGGTTCGTGCGTGTAACGTACATATTAAAATACCGATTCGTCCTGAAAGAATAATCAGTCTCGTTCTTTGGGGGCAGCAGATGATGAAGTTTATGCATTGGATCCTTGATGATACTCGTAAAGAGTTTGTCACACATGTCCTCTCTTCTTTGAAATAGAGTAGGCAGTCTAAAATACTCAAGGGCCTCACAATATGTCATTTCAGGAGATAAAATTTTTAGCACACGTTTCTGGACAGTCTCAAGTTCGTCTGCCAAATACTTTGGGATGGAATGATGGAAGGCTTGCGCACAATACTCGAGCACAGGCCTGATCACTGTACAATAAAAGTTCAAGACATCATTGACATTTACGCTTGCCCGTTTCAATAATACTATAAAATAGAGGCGTTTATTAGCTTTCTTTATACTCTCTCTGATGTTATCTTTCCACTGAAGTGTGCCTGTCATAACAAGACCCAATATTTTTGCACTCTCAACTATAGGCAATGCTTCTCCACCCACCAGTACAGGATCAAAATGTTGTTTAATTCTTTTAAAATCGATTCTCAGTTCTTTACATTTCTCAGTGTTAAGAGATAGCCCATTTGCCTTCGACCAATCTTCCACAACATCAACTGCGACTTGAACACGGCTCTCTGTGTCCTTACTAACTACTTCAGCAACTGTTGTGTCATCAACAAACTTCCACCTCGATATATCACAAATATCAATCGTTTATCATTAAACAAAATAGCCAGGGCCCTAATTTTGTACCTTGAGGGATACCGGAAAGTACATCTCCCCCCTCCGAATAACAGTCATTGGATAATTTCACTCTCTGCTTTCGATTCATCAAAAAATCGATTGTCCAGCGAGCAACCGCACGTGGAATAGCTAAATTGGAAATTTTATCAGCCAGTAAAGCATGATCGATAAGGTCGAATGCTTTTCTATAATCGAACAGGATGACTCTGACAGCAGAGCCAGTGCCATCAGTAACTTGCGACCATTCATGGATCATAGATATAACAGCGAGAGTAGTTGAACTTCTTGGTATTACTCCATATTGA